AAAAAAATTAACACGTTTACTGTCTCAGTTTTTCACAAAACAATAAATTTAATCCAGACTATGCATCGTATGTAAAGCAAGAACATTATGAGAATAACGACCGTGCATTACATACGACACGGAAAACAGTGAACGTGTTAAAGAACTTCAATTACCTAGAGTTTTTATTATCTACAGACTCTTCATTTTCATTCATTTCTTTAGACTCCTGTTTTATTAAGTCTACATCAGTGTAAACATCTTCGATGTATGTTATCGAATTATTTTCTGTACCAATCCCTTCTTTGTTCACATATGTATTCAACAGCCATCCTTGATTACTCCCTATTTCTGTTGATACAACAAGAAACAATTCTTTCTCCTTACTGTCTATCTGGTCCTTTAGATACACAAGTAAATCATGGTCCTAATACCACAATAACTTTGAATTAGCACAGTTCATAGTTTAATAATGTATTACTTTTATACTGTATGACTTTTCATTAAAAAAATTATTGAATTATGTTTACTGACCTTTCCTATGAGTTGAGGAGAATCCAGTTTTGAATCAAGATTATAAAAGGCACCATGAATTTTTTTCAGGGCAATCCAATGACGTCTTTTTAGAGGAAGCAACACAAAACCTAATTTGTATTCTGTTGGTACATTTAATATGAAGCCTTCTATGTTGTCTAAACAGAGACATGTAGGATCTCTACAAAATTTAAAGATATTATAAATGTATAAGAATTCACAGTCTAACAACATTCTACTATTTATAATCATAATCTTTTACAAACCTGCGTTTATCAAACCAAACAGCTTCACGTCCTTTTTGTTGCAACGCTGCCATAATAACATTAATATCATAATTACCAAGTCCTAACAATGATTTATGAGGATTGATCCATACATCCGGACTTAAGTTATAACAAATTTTGTCTAATTCCTGTTTACTAAACCCTCTCTCTTGGAACAGGTTGTTTAATGCATGTAAAGCACAAAGTTCTTTCACCTACAGATGTCATAGATGTAAAATTAATACAATCATATATATTATTAATTTTCAAATCAAAGCATTCGATATATTACTTGTCTTTCATGGTAAATGGATTCATTCATATCATCTGCTGTATTTGCAACCATTTTATCTACATAATTTTTCTCCGGAGTTATATCAGAAATTTTGTTAGTCAGTCAATTGCATCGCTCGCCGAATTGTTTACCGTGTCACAATGTTCCACAAGTTTTACAATAATGTATCATTCATCAACAACATCCAATATTTAATGACACTGAAAACAGAAACGAACAACTATTTATTGGGATTTGTTAGAAGATATCATTCATGAAATAATTATAATCGAAACACATACTGGCATATTGCATCGGAAAAACAAATGATAAATACTGTCACCATGAAATACACTACAGTTTTACAACAGATCAATGAAAAGTAACAAATGTTGATGTAATATGTCTGTTACTGGTTTACGTTCATTCATAATTACAGTTTGTTAGATATCGCGAGCGAGTTTATAATGTATATATATAGTGTACATATGTACATTCACTATTCACTTACTTTTATAATTCGTAAATTCAAGTGTACGTATTCAATGACAAGACGTAGTTGATGGAAAAGTAAGATGGTTTCAGTCTATTGGCGCCACTTAAACAAGATGATGGCATTGCTGATTGGAGATTATTTAAATATGATATAACAGCTAAAGTAGCAAATTGTCAGTAAGTATTTAAACGTTCAGTATTATAGTGTCATGTATTTCTTTCCACACGGTGATATGAATTACAATATTACTGGATTTTTAAGTACATTGTACAAAACGGTTTTGTGTTTGTAGCCATAGACAATGAACGTTATCAATGCACTAATATTGGTCATACTGTAAAATGTTAGAAATCACGCTTCTATGGTTAAGTTAAAAACGCAGTACAGTAATATAATCATGTTTTGATCTTGAATATTGATATATATAAAAATGCCACAACAATATTTGAGGAAAATTGCATTATTGGAAAGGTTAGAAATTCCATTATATATGAAGCACTGTATTGTTGAGTGACATTTTCAAATATACTCGGAATGGACATTCAATACAAATTCAATAGAGAAATAGATTGTAAACAAGGAGCTGTACGATCGGTTCGATTTAGTGGTATGCATAGATTTGAATCATCTTTTTTCTGTACTCAATGTTAATCGTTTACCAAAGAATACAAATTTTTTAGTTGATGGCACTTATTGCTTAACTTGTGGATCAGACAGAAAATTGAAATTATGGAATCCACATAGAGGGGTAGCTTTGAAGACATATGGAGGACACGGAGACGATGTAATGGAAGCTTGCTCATCATGTGATAGTAGTCAAATTATTTCTTGTGGATTAGATAAATCAGTTATCCTTTGGGATGTGGCAACTGGAACTCTAATTCGTCGTTTAAGAGGTCATGTAGGTCCAGTTAACACAGTAAGGTATGTATACATTTTATACATTTATTTGCTCTAACTATGATAAAATACAACTTGTTTCAAATATTATTAGATTCAATGAAGAGTCTACTATGGCTATTTCTGGATCTAGAGACAATTCAGTCATGTGTTGGGATGTGCGTTCTAAAGCTTTAGATCCTGTACAATGTCTAGGTGAAGCTAAAGATTCTATTTCTAGTGTGAGAGTATCTGATCATGAAATTCTAACAGCTTCGTTCGATGGTAAGATACGCAGATACGATATTCGTGTCGGTGAACTGTATGCAGATTATATGGGAGGTACTAAATAATATAATACTCTTATGAAAAAGACAGGAATGTGAACTGTAATTAAATATAATAAATATACATATTGTAGATGCAGTAACATGTGCAAGCTTTACAAGGGATGGTCAATGTATAGTGGTCAGCTGTGCGGATGCTGTAGTCAGATTAATGGATAAAGACTCGGGAGAACTGCTTGGAGAGTTCACAGGACACGTCGCGGATAATTTATGCCTGGAATCAAGCGTTGATGTTCAAGACGCTCGGATTCTTTCTGGTTCAGCCGATGGAAAATTATGGATATGGGATCTAGTTTCACAGAAAGTCATTGCGAAACTTTCAGGCTCTAAACCTACAAAACATCCAATAGTCTCCTTGAGTGTTCATCCGAAAGTTAACTGCTTCCTGGCTAGTAATGGACCAAATATTTTAATGTGGAACTCTGTGTCCACAGAACAAGAATAGTACTTTATGAAGAAACTTTGAATGTGTACATATATACTTAATCATAAATTCAATCTTAATAAAGTTGATTGTATATTTTTTAACTTTTAACAAGAATATGTTAATGAAACTAGGGAATGTTGCACGAGATTCAAGATAACCAACTAAACCAAAATTATCCAGCTATTTGGATATCTCTTCTACCGGATTTAAAAAATTAATCATAAATTATGCATATGAATTTTATTATAATCTATACAAATTTGATTATGAATAATTCTCGTTTTGCAATCCAAATGTCACGAGATATGCATTTCAGGTATTAAAAATCTGGACTCTGTCCATACTCATTTGTATGTTTATCGAGGTACCAATAATATCATAGTTTGAAACGGTTTCAAAAATAATTGTTACTAACTGTTTTATAAAGGTTCTGATTAGAGCAGTTATGAAGAACCGATATTCCAAATAGCTGTTATGAAGAACCGAAATTTCTGTTCATATTGGTTTCGATAACGGCCCCTATATAGTTCCTCATCGCTCCTAAGACCATTTCTACATAGTTTCCCCTATGAACACGTTGTGAAGCAAAAGTGAATCGCAAATGAATAGTGTATGATGACGGCTCAAGAGTGATTATGAATTTCAAGTCCTGTGGGTAACTAGGTATATGTAATTGTTTATCTGGATACACGAGCTCATTATTTCGGGTGCTAAAACCACCAAGGTTTGTATCGTGGTGTACATATGCTCGTAGTAGCTTAACCTTGAAGAGCATCGAGACCATAGGAACTTAGGTATTTGGACGTCTAACGAGATATCCAGGTATGTAAATGTTTACTCGAGTATCTCGGACCTTCGGTCATGGGCTCCGTCACCTGCGTATGAAAGAAATAGAATATGGGTTAGCTCGAGCTGGGTCGTGGCGTGGCATACAGTTCGTGAAACAGGCTACGAGTACGCACGTAGCGTAACTTTAGCACAAACGGGACAGAGAGCGGTAGAGGGAGAAAGAGAGAGAACACCTGCGTGCGCAGGTGGCGCGATATCGGTGCGTCAGAATCAGTGGTCGCCACCGTCTCGCCCGGGTGAGGGAAAGAAAAAGAGAGAAAGAGTGAATAGTTCCCGTGGAGCGAAGAGAAATAGAATCGGCTGCGCGCAGGAGTAATAAAGGACGACGGACTCGGCACGACGAATGAAAAAGACGGACGAAAAGAGGGAGCAAGAGAATATACAGCGAGAGACACGGAGACGGAGGTGCTCGCACACGGGGCGGGCCTGCCAGTCTCAACCACTTCGTGGAGTACACTTTTTATTCTGTATTCGAGCACGCAGCCACTCTCAATTGTTGGCTGTTTGCACCTACACAATCGAAGAGACCCGTGACTCGCCCGATGCAGAGTGGAGGCTGTTGGACCGCGTGGTCTCGCCAGACTTTACTGCCAGCCAGTCACCGCACCGTGAGTGAGGATTGTTGATGTTGTTGTTGTTGATCGATCCCCCCCGGCTTGCCGGCTGTCAAAGTCACCGGAAACGCTGAAATCGCGGTCGAGACAGTGTGCCCGAACCGGAGACGAGTTTTGAAAATCTCAGGGTGTCAGTGACAGTGGTGGAAGAGCAGTGCTGGTGGAAGATACCAAGGAAACGGGTGTGCGAGGAAAGAGGGTTGTTATGGGGCGAAGTTGTCCACTGCTGGTACTCTTGCCGCTGCATTTGCTGACTCTACTCGGCTTCCTCGCGGCGGCTGATGCTCTCAACATTGACAGTAAGTACGATTTTTTTCGTATGCCTGCCGAACAGTGTACGGATGTAGATGTAGTATGCGCCAAACAGAGAAAAAAGTGAATAAGGTGAATGGGGGAACGTCAGTTGCTATTGGAGAATATACCGCACGACCACCATAGGAACGTTGTTGATTGACTGGGTATTCGTATGGGATGCGCCTAGCGCCGGTCTTGCTTACATAACCGACCTTTCGCGTATATTTTCGACGGTACGTCCCTACGAATCCGTCGAGGTAGGTCGCGGGAAATGAGGACAGTCAACGCAGATATCAAAGAATATTCGACCTACGGGCTCAATATCTCCGTGATCTCTGTGAGGGGGATGCTGGTGGTGGTGTGGAGATGCGTTGGTCCTCTGTAAATGGGGGAAGACCGCGATAGATGGAAGCACGTGAACATCTTCCTACGCTGTGCTCTTCATCTGGTGGTTTAGGGCGGGTATTCTTAAAAAACTAGGGGGAGAAGAGAAGCGTTAGCTGACACGTTTGCAAGATTTTCTGTGCCGTTTCTTAACGGTAAATTATATATTATAGAATTCCATTTTCATTCGAAAATCCACATAATATTTGTCCAAGTCATAGTGCCATAAAAAAAAGATCAACGTGTGAACGTATCTTTCCATTCATCGCTTGTATTCGAAATGGATCTTTCGAACTCGTTCTTACACTCCTCCTACAGGAACTTCTATTATACTATTATGCTTTACTAGATCGTAAACGTTTCGTTTTATGATCTAATCACGTTTTTCTCATTGACCTTTAAAGTCACGTGCGAGGCAAAGCGCCTCGGATGAAATCGATATTAGAGTGTATATTTAATATTCTTCGCAATCATGGAATATTGAAGCAGTCGCTGTACACTAAACTTATTTAATGAACGGATAAAACCGTATAAAGCAATTTGCATTTCATTCGGAAGCGGAGCAACGAAAATTCACATCATATCCGCGTTATTTACGACGCTTTGTAGCTGTTATTATAATATAAATTATAATCTTCGAATGTTATATTAAACGATGTGTAAATTATAATTCGTAACCAGGTCGTATGTTCTGGCCATATAAATGAATATTTTACACGAGTCGTGTAAAACGACTGTTAGCGAATGAACGTGTTGCGATAATCGACCGTTAGATATACGCAACCGATCTACAATTTCCAAGATATTTATCGGATGATATGATATGCAGTTAAAGAGTACCGAATGCATCTTATCGCCTGCGAACTACATCGGTGAAGTATTGTGAGAAGCGAAACAAATTAATATCTCTGTGTACGCGCGCGCGCGCGCGTGTGCACTGTTATGCACGATCATAGAATCATACTTAATAATTCCTAAAACAATGTGAGACTATATTGCTGTGGCCGGATCTAGTTTTACGGTGCTTCGAAGTTTCGAAATCACTTTAATTTCTCATTTATTACGTTCCCCTTGTATAAAATTCGAATACGACTTCGAATACCTTTATCGACTATGTTTGCCATTTGTTAACACGTTGAATGCCACGCCGATTTTACAGAAATTGTCCGTGGCGCCACGATGAATTTTCTTTTATGCGATACATATAATGTTGAAATATTATCTGCAATAGATAAATTACAGTGTATAACCATGTTTGACATGTTAATTGTGACAGGGGCCACTGTTTGAATCGACGACGGTAATAATACAAAATTTTAAATATTGACATTTGTTTGAAATTATATATATTTCTATTAATTTGGGCGCGCCGGTCACCGGTGGCCCCCATGGCGTCACCGCCAAGTTAAGTGCCGGTCACCGGTGACCCCCGTGGCATTCAACGTGTTAACTAGGAACAGAGCTTGGAATTAATTAAATAAAATTTTTTATTTCATTGATTAAACTTAACAAGTGTAAGAGACGGGTATTTTAATGGATGATCATCAGTAGAAATGATAACTGAATAATTAATTTAATTATCGCATCGCGACCTGATCGATGACTGCGTAATTATTTAATTAACTGCGATTATACGTTGGATAAATTAAAATTTGAGCCGTTAAATGCAATCGGTATTGAGTGTACTTCAATTGTAATCGTAAAGTCATTGATTTCATTCAATATTGTTCAATTCGGATCTGGAACAGCGTCGATTCATTGGTCTTCTATTTTAATATGATAAACGCAGTGTGTTTCACACCTTTTCGCATAGCACTGCAAAAATGTTATTGCTTCGTACACGCGTGCACATCACAGTGTATCAATATTGATTCTGCTTATCCTTCATCTCTATTTTTGCCAGTATAACGTCGAAACTAATGCGAAAAGCCACTCTACGATTTCCTTCTTACGCATTTGACAACTGGTAAGCTAAACAAATGAATCGGGAAAAGGAAGTCAGCAATGTCTTTAAATCGCATTAAGTCGTCAAATTTAAATACCATCGGATATAGCTTATCAAGAACATCCTTTTAACGTAGAGATTAACTGTCGTATCGTTTATGTATCTTTCTATATTTTATTGAACAATAACGAACAATATTTGTACAATTTTCAATAACGTTTGAAGCAGATGTGTAAATACGCATCGGATAGTGCATCATTGATATGATCCGGTACAAGGCCATTTCTGTTCCCCTTCGAAATATTCGTAGAATTCAGATGATGCGGCTTCATTAAAAATATAACCGGTGTCACATATTGTGTATACATATAAGTCTGAGGTAATGATATGATTAGTTCATAGAATTCATTTTAGAGATGTATACATACATATATCCCTGAGCTAATGGTACGATTAGTTCATAAAATTCACTTTAGAAATGTATTCAGTCTCTCAAAGGAGGTACTCAAAGACGAGTTTCACGGGTGATGAAGTATCGCTAGCACTTATTATAATTTCTAAAAGGGGAAAAAAGATGCAAATTACCATTTGGATGAATATTTTTTTTATCTTTCCACAATGATGTTTTTCTTTTAGCGGTATTGTGACATAATTCGCGAGAGACGGACGCTATAACACGTTTCAACTGTTTCATTAAGATTCTTACGGAGATGGCATTGGCGCTACTGATATAGTTACAATGTACAAACGTCGCGTTTGTAAACGACACGAACAAATGCCGAGGATTTGTCCTGAATTTCGTGAGAATCGTTACAAGCTTTGCGCCAAGAAAATAACATCTTCTCTGGCGTAATATTTTTTTCAAAGGAAATTCTGATTTCAGGAAATAATCATTCGATTCGTGACGCCGAATGTTCTCCACTGGTGAAATATATCAAATAACGATTACACCGGGCGTAATGCGCGTGGGGTTTAAGGCGGATTTCATGAGCCTACGTGAATCAAATACGTAACGCGCGTTTGATGCGCGGAATACGATTGAATTTTAAACAATAAGTCTCCTTAAATTTCGCCGTGTCTTGTAATAATGGTAACAACACGTTTTTATTTAGGGCAAGATAACAAGAAAGCTAAACGACCTATCTAATTCTAGTTTTAGTCATTCGAAAGATCAATCCTTTTAATGTGAAAATGTGTAGAGTGTCAATGAGTTCTTCCTACGTTTACTTGCTTTAGTTTATATATTTTTTAAAAGTGCATTTTGTCACATTCGTCAATTGGTTGCATTGAATGGGACAAAATAAAGTAATATTGGCATTAATCTTATAAGTACGGCTTCTTTTATTTATTGTAAGCATATGTAATATTATATACTAATATTAAATTACATAAATTCTTTTTGCATCTTTGGGTTAATATCAAGTTTTAGTATTTTATAACAGAAAATAGTCGTTTCATTAAAAACAAACTGAAACAAGTTAACAAAAAAACTTTTTAATTTCTTGATGTAAAAATTAATTTCCTTGTTTATTACAGACCTATGATGTTCTGTATGTCCCATTCATAAGCTTGGTAACAACAATCAAAATGTAACTTGTTTAATTATTAAGACTATCCGACGCTGTATGTCATATTCTTGAAAAAATACCTGATCGAATGCAACAAATATGAACAATAAAAAAAAAATACAAACCCAATCATGAATAACAGTACTTCATATAATAACGTCGCGAGAAGAAAGGAAAAATATTACTTTCAAGCATAAAGAAAATTAATTGTCTGATACAGTTATATATGAATTGGTAGCGGCTTCAAATTACACGTGATTAGATATACATAATATGATTTCAAAATAAGTATAATTTTATTGTAGAAAGATTCACAATTTTTGAATTAATGGTAACGCCCCATTCATGTGGTAGTTCTCTCCTACAAATCGATCTTCGTAATGTAACTTCTCGGAAAGATAATGTTCGCATACAATAAATTAGAGAGCGCTTGCTGCTCGAAGCTAAGGGCGTGCCGGTAGGAATCGAGTTAACAGGAAGTCCATTCCAAAAGTTGCAGACTCTGATACGTCGGTAGCAATGTCAGGAATTGCGCGATGGTTAGTTATTCCATGGTCGTTTGTCACTCGGCAAAGATTGGCGAAGTAAGGAAGACGGATAAGTGGTTTTTCGCATGAGTTGAGCGACAACTCGGGAACTTTAAACGAATAGAGACAAAGTCTCTTCGTTACTTTCGACGAACAAACAAAATCCATTTTCCGAGATAAAATAAAAGTTTATCCGCAGCCGTCCTTATTTTCTCTGTTTCGCTTCTGGAAAATCAGGGGACACCGTCGCATCCGGTTAAACTTCCGAACTGCGAATGAGAGAAAGAGGAAAAGAGGGATAGAGAGAGATATAGAAGTTACGATAACTGTAAATAACGTCGCGAACAGCCATATTCCTGACACTGGGTGTTAAATCCGTGGGACATTCATTTTTCTATTGAATTATGGCGCGGATTATCTTTGGAAACGTGTATTCAACGCAGGATTACGGTACACAATTATGTGCTCGGAGGTTAGTATACGAGAGCATTACATACGCGACTATCTCTTCCGAACCAGGGATAACCGTGTTCTGAACGAGCGATAACTCCTGCCATTTCGCCATATGCTACCGGGCTAATGCGGTAGAAATCATTGGCAGCCATAATTGAAATTGTCGTTTCCTGGTTATTAATACTTTGACCACCGGCTCGTTAACCAGTTAGCTGTTGCGGCCTCTTTGAAAAGTGTGTAAACTACTGTAATTTGTTAAATACTGTATTTGTTCGATTTGTTCATATTTTTTTTTTTAAATACAACACTTTTATAAAATATATAATTTAGTGAAGAATATGAAAGTATATCGCGAAGAAATGGCAACATTTTGTATTATGACGAATATACTCGTCAAGAACAGCTAACTGGTTAACAGACCCTTTGATGACTGTAATATGTATTATTATTATTTTTTTCATGAGCGAGATACGATACATCTAGAATTCTCGAACATCGATCAAATCAAATATTACATAAGATGTCGCAACGTCAGGGCGAATGAGAATAGGAACAACCGTAACCGACAATTTAACATTTAAAAAATGAAATTATGGAATAATTTGTTTCAGTAGAAATCATTAGATCGTATTACTTCCAGATATCTTTTATCGATTTACAAAAATATTTGACGTATCTTCGAAAGACTTTGTGATCAAATAAATTAGATTCCCTTGCTGATTTCCATGAAATTATTTAATTAGAAAGTCACAGATGAGTAAGATTAGCCTCATCATTTTCGGATTCAATATTTGCCGGATCCTGTAAATACGGCAGGTCGAAATTAAAGTGAAAGACTCGATCGAGTTTTAATCGGAAACTTCGACCCATATTCCCCTCCGCGGGTCATTAATCCGGCTATAATTCCTTCAATCGAATTTCCCCGGAGCTAAGAGTTCTTAAAAAGTTCCGCCATCGAAGAATTTTTCGACCCTGAAATTATTCGGGTCCTCAATCGAATCGGTTAACAAAGCCACTTAATTATTCCGTCGGATCTCTTTTAAACAGCACGGAAATTATGTCATTCGAACACGCGGCCGTGGTACGAAATTAAATCGAAAGTAATAAGGTTCCGCGGAGGCAGTCGATCTAATTGTTTATCGGCAAATTATTCACGATGGCGCGCGGCTCGATAGGAACCGAATTAAAATGGCGATCGGATTATTGGTCATCCTTGGTCGTAATTCTTCCACGACACCGTGGTCATACTAAATTGATACGAGTTATCGCGCCCGCCGATCCGTGTCCGCGGATTTTCCGTGAAAAAGATTAACGTTTCACCTCTCCCTCGACAGAATTTAACCGCGTTTAAAGCATTGTCTGCTAAATAACGGAACCCGAATTTACGCCCGGAGAACTCTTTTTATTCCAGGGTAACCGCGGGAACGGATACTGGATCAGCGACGAGAAATATTCGAGCGGTATAAACGTTGTTAACTGAAAAGTTGTACAACAGCCCATTAAAATGGAATAACTTGTTTAAAAATGCACGAACAATTTGATGTAAATAAATTAGTTTGCTGGAATTGCGAGATAAAAACAGTCGATGCTGCTTTTTGCAACTTTTCCGTAACAAAAGTTTGAAACACAATTGGCCAACGTTGCCACCGGTTAGCAACAATTAAAATCGTGGAAATTCACGAACGATACGACTGACTAGAAATTTACAACATGAATTTTCGAAATTTTCATTAACGTCAGCCAGCAAAAACTAATCCTTCCGAATCCTAGAAAAAGGAAACTCGAATCGTTTGCACGAGTTCGAGAAAAGTTATTCCGTTTTAAAGGGCGCCTTTCTCAAACGACCGTGTAGAAGAATTCTTCTCTTTCGATGCGCCTGCATTCACGTATCTATTTTTTGCTTACCGATTGACGCGAAACGGAAATTTCAGTGAACAATGGCGGGAGTTGACCGGCGAACTTTGTTCCGAGGATTCGGCGACCATGAGAGGCAGCTGCGGTTGCGCGTATACATACATACATATGTATAGTTACAGAATACATAGAAGTAATATATGCGACGCGATATTGCTGATCCTGTTTGTCCTGTCACATTCGTTTTTCTGTGTTAGGCGATACGATCCATCCAGCAGCGAGGAAGTGGCATCGCATTTGAGAATTTCTTTTCACGTGTCAAATTATACATGCTTCCTTCTATCATCTGAGTGCATACTGTCACGTTGTAACACTGATCATAGAGAACTCCAGCCGACGCGATTCCATTAATCTCCGAAATTTCCTTTGACGACTGTTTCGCTAAAAAGGATTGCAAGCTCGCGCGCGCGATATTCACAGTATACACCTGCCACACAATGACCTTTGAATGAATTTTAGTTCGAGTTGAGTGTAAACAGTAAAAGTTGGATTTTTTGTCGGATTAGTGTAAATACCTCAAAACTCGGCGTGACCGTTAGGATGAACACCCTGCAGAAGATCGCAGCACTTTTGCGTTAACCATCTTTCGGCTGGCGCGCACAGTATAGTATTCTTGAGAAATGAATTCTTTCGATCCGACGGGATGCACAGAAATCCCCAGGGGGTAATTCTATTCTCCACCTCCGATTCCTTTTTGCCCAAGTAATCATCCCATGCCCGATTGCACCGGCGGCCCTCTCTCGTCCCTCACCGCCGTTCCGCGGCGAAAAGCTTGATGCGTCGATTATTACTTTCGCTGCCGTACAATACGCACATAACGAAGCGACGTCGAATGGCGTCCCCTTTCTCTCCGATATTATTTCTTTTATTTCTTCCTTTCATTTCTTCCTTTCGACTCGATCTCTCATTTCGGTAATCTTTCTGAATTTCACACGGTTTTTATTTCCTCGAACGCTAGAATCTCGTTAACCACGTCCTCGCCGACGACGACTATGGTCGGCCACCGTTGAACTTTCGCCGCTAACCAGCGACCTTAGTTCGAAATTCTGCTTTCATTAACGAGTCCATCCGAGTTCGCGATTAAACGTTCCCTTGACGCATTTGCTTATAATTCGTTGCATGTTAGCCCTTATCGCTCCGACAGGCGCACAATGGTTAAATTCGCTTTTTGCGAGCAAAGTTATTTTAACGTTCGTTCAAGATTTAAGGTTATAGTAGGCCTTTGAATTCGTCTCGACAGCAGCTAGAATATTATTGAGTTAAAGGATAGATGAACAAAATAATTAAAATTAGATTCAATATGATTCAAGTGCATCGGCTAATGTACACAGAGTCGTCATTAAAACCTGTTTTCAAATACTTTATAATTTATTGCGTAAAACGTTTAAATTTAATTTGAATTTAAAAATTTTGTATTTAGAACGCCGTGTCTCAGCACAGAATTATGTAAAACGATGCAATAATAATATTTTGGAATGTGGAGTTTCGAAGGGTTTTCTTCAAACTTTTTCGATATATAATACTAAACTCAAAAGATTGAATATTGGCCATGGAATGCTGCAGTATTTTAATAATGAATAGCACAGCGGTAAAATTTTGCAAAAAAACTCGACGAACAAGTGTACGAGTTTGAACAGTCGTAACTCGGCAAAAATGGTCGTATCGCTGTCATTGTTGAAGAGTCGTCTGAAAGTGTCGACACTCTAGTTTTACATGCTAACTCAACGTTTTAGTTGCATCGTTTTTTTTCGCAAAGTTGGGGTGGTACAAAAGGCGCTACAAAAATTTCAGAAAGTTTCGCTCAACATTCTAATGCCCTACGGAGTAAGCAGAATTTGTCGGACCAGTTATTTTTGCATCGGTCGAAAGCGACCACCTTCCTACGTAGGTTTGGTGCCGGTTTGTCGCAGTACAATTTTGTTCATTCGAGTTAGTCAGCTGCAAAAAGAAAAAATTACCCTTTCCCCTAAAAGCGTGAAACCAGAAAAGTCTCACTTCAAAGGGACGCTTTGAGTGATTGTACAAATAAAAGTGCTCAAGTTCAGTCAGATGATTGTTCACCGCTTTTTAGAACATAGTTTTAGAAGTACTTTAACACTAGGACTACCGTAACCTTAAACGTGACTAATTGTATATTGTTTTATAACAATTACAAGATTTGATTTATTTGAATGAAGAAGTTCGTATAGAAATTTCTGACAAAAACAGTTTTACAGTATTAGAATTTGTAAAAGAAAAAGTCAAAAATCCAGTTTAAATGTTCGATCAGTTTAAATGTTTGTCATTTCGAATAGTTTGGTAGACAAAATTATAGCATAGAAAAATCTTGGATAAAAATTGGTCAACTTTCACTGACGATAACTCCGCGAAAAATCATTGTAGGATGATGATTTTGTTTCAATTAAAGTTTGAAACCTCTACCTTAAGATAGTCTTTCTGGATTTTAAGTTCAACGCACCCTGTACATTGATATCGTGCCAAAAACGCCAGCTTTGATTTCATGCTCGCATTTAAATGATGGTTACAGTGGCGAGGGTGCGTTGAACTTAAAATTCAGAAACAGTAACTTAAAGTAAAAAGGTTTCAAGCTTTAATTTAAAAAAGAAGTCATCATTCTACGATGATTATTCAGTCAAACTTGGCCAACTTTTATCAACAATTTTTCTATGCTATAACTTTTTTGAGAAGCATATTTTAGCGAATAGTCGTGACAAATTCTAATTTCCGCAGTTGTGGGTTAAAGGCCATTGCTAAGAACTGAGTAGCTAAAAGTTGGCTTCGAAGTGCTGGCTCAAAATGAATCCGATACCGTAGTCGAAGGGTAGAACATGGCGCGTAAAAGCCAAGAACTCGTATTGGGAAACTAATTCGGTTCGTGGCGAAATCTAGATTTGTAAGAAAATTGTTCCGCCAGGAGCGGATCGCATGGACGTCATTTCATTTCTGTTTTTCTTATTTGGTTTTAGGCGAGCCTGGTAATTTAAAGCGATTTCGATGCGCAAACGATAAATACATACCAATCTCGTGGGTCTGCGACAAACAAGACGACTGCCATGACAATTCCGATGAAACCGAGAAGGAATGCAAAGGTGAGCGATGAGACGGTTATTCAAATGTATCGCGCACTTTGTACGGGTTTGGGCCGGAACGACGCTGAACCCCCGCTATAAAGATCGAATAAAATACGAGCATTCGTGTATCCGCGCGCGCGCTTTCTTCTTGTTTTCCGTCTACGAGACAAGACGAGCGAAACCGAGCGAAACCGAGCAAAACCGTGGCCCGATGTGGTCCGAGCTATGATCGATAGCCAAGTTTTCGGGGAAAGATGACAACACGGACAACGAAATACGCGAAAAAGAGCCAATTATTTCTGTCTTATTGGGAAAAATAATTTCTTCTCCAGACAACGCGTCTCGAAAGCTTCGCGAAGTGGTCTCGGCAAATTTGCCTTTCTGAACATCATATTCACTCTGCTGCAAATCGTGTGCAGCATTTTGCAAAACGTATTTACCATTTTGAAAATCGAATTCGCCATTTTGCAGACTGTATTCACCATTTTGCAAATTGTATTCACCATTTTGCAAATCGTATTCATCCTTTTGTAAATCGTATTCATTTTGCCGCAAATCATATTCGCTCTGCTGCAAATCGTATTCGCCATTTTGAAAGTCGTATTCACCATTTTGAAAGTCGTATTCACCATTCTACAAATCATATTCATCCTTTTGCAAATCATACTCATACTCATTTTGTAATCATACTCATAATACCTTCTTGCAAATGACATTCACACTTTCACATGTTCAATTCAACATTTAGCAAGTCAAGTGTCTCTACTTGAAAATCCTTGCGTTACGATCGACTTCACATCTACAGTGGCTGGCATCAATATTCAGACACCTTTTAACCCTTTGCACTCGATGCTATTTTTATTCGAAATCGAAAACATGTTTTCTGACCTACGGTATTTATCTATTTGTTGCAATTACACAGATCAAATTCAACCTATTAGTATATAAAATATTTTCACTTTTTACAATTCTTTTGAATACAAGCTTTGATGTCAACATTATTTAGGAATGTGTTCATATAGCAATTTTTAGTAACGCCTCGGAGTCGCGTGTAAAGGATTAAAAGGGAATAACTCGAATAACGGAATAACTTCTATTATAACATGTGCTTGAATAAAGAAATCTCTGTCCAGATATAACTCATGGGAACATTTTTATAATATCAGGAATAATAAAAGAAACAATCGGGAACCAGTTATTTTGACTGGTTTAGTAGTTCTATTGTTAAAAGATGAACGAATGCCTTAGTCCGTCACTTTACTTATTGTTCGACAAAGATTTTGAAACAATCCTTCGTATCCGTCGAGTGTGTATAATATAAGTTTCTGCAGGATTAAAGCAACGAACGTGAATGTAGTTCTGTCGAATAAATGAAAACGCTCGGTGAGGGGTCAGACCGAGGATTTCCGCAACGGTGCACCTCGCGATTATCGGCAGAAAAAGTCGGAGATAATTATAAATCGAGTAGATCAAACTGAAGCCTATGTGAACAACTCGATTCATAAAAGAGATCGCGAAGTCGCGCGATCATTATTCGAAGGTCGACCTATAAATGATCAGCGTTGTGTTTTACAACGCTGCGTAGTACGCGAATTGAAGCTGATCTAGAAATTACTATCGTCCGTGCCATTCGACGATCCACGTGCGTGGTAATCCGAGCCGTCTCGGGTCGATGAAAAACAATAACAAATTAAGATATTTGTTTCTTCGACCTTGTCACCTTTGCTCGGATCGAGTAAGTGATAAAGTTTGCTTTTATTATTAGAAGATCGAGGTTGGCGTTACGAAGCACAGTAATTTGACTTTAACAGCCCGTAAACAGTGGTCGCCGATAGACTTTTCACGGTGAACACGTAACTTCTCCAATATACTTTTATCGACTTTATAATAGTCGCGTCGCATTCGGGCTCGTTCCTAGACAATAAACTACGATGGTTAACGCTGAAACTACCGCAGATTTCACGGCGGCAGACGGCGATCGAGACCACTATGAATGTAATTTCGTCGACTCCGCGTCGATATAAAATCCGCTTGTTTCCTTCAATTATTCGCCATTATTGTTGTCATTGATATACCGCTGATAAAATGAACGCTGAAATCTACGTACTTTCGTCGGACATTCGTCGTTATTTTTCCAACGAGACATTGTCGATCTTTTCTGTTGGATCGTTCAATGCAATTTGTTCAAGTCGAGTTCAATGCAATTTATTGGGTCGGCTCAAAAGTCAGAAGACGAAATGCAGAACTTGAAACGGAAACACTTGAAGAGTTTAAACATTCTTTGTTTTGCAAGCTTTTACATTTTAATTTGTAAAAATATGAATACTGACCAACTTTTGTTGGGTACATTTTTCTGCTAGACCATCGATAGTGCCTGAAAACTCATGGTTTCTTTTGGAATTGGATACGAGCATTCAGTGACGAGCGCACTTGCCCATGACTGCTTACTCAGGCGCCGAAATATGTACTGTTTTATACAAAGGTATCCCCTTTCTAGCAATCGTTTAAGCTTTTATATTTATTTCGGGCTCTCTGGTTTTCTTTCGAATTCCTGCTCCTAACTTTTTTCCATTTCTGTGTTACTATGGCTTTGCGATCTTTTTTCTCTGAACACTTGGAAAACACGCTTGTACTCTTTCGTGATTTCGATTGAAGTCCTTTAAGCGTTTATATAAAAATAGTCTCATACTAATAACATTTTAACAGTTTTCTTAAAACTTTTTCCAAAGTTTGAATGATTAAAACTAGTTTGAACACTCCAAGTGCAGCAGCTGATATACATATACAAAACCGATGAAAACCGTCATGAAAATCTGTTTTCGAATATTCTACAATTTTTTGTGTAGAACGTTTAATTTTAGAACGCCGCATCGTTGGTTTATTTCAGCGGTCAAATAATTCTTCAAATAATACATCGTTATTTAGATTTAAAAACAAATAACTTTTTATTTTGATTGTAATTCGATTAAAAATAGTTGTTCAAATATTTTCTTAAATACTCTCTAATTATATCGTGTCAATTACGCCAACAATGTAAGTTAAGTTAAGTTATAAAAATGTAATCAGAGTTTATCTGTGTATAATTAAATTTAGTTCAAACGACTAATTCTCAAGAATTCTTATTAATTCTTATTACTTTTAGTTCCAATTAATTCAACAATTCTTATGTCAAATTATTTGTTATTTTATTTGAACGAACAATTTAAATAAAAAATTATTTGGAAATGATTCATTGAAATTGAAAACAAAATAAAGTTGATTTTCCATATTAGCTGTGAAGTAAAAATAATAATATATTTGGAATTATAAAGGATTATTTCGAATAATTATTTGTTATCTTATTTCAAATAAAATGAGCCTAAGCCTGGCCCGAGCCTCGAGTTTAAGCATTGCCATATTGTATACTATTCTATCTTTCTTTTAGACCGTTATGTCAACACCACTTTGCAACGGTTCACAAGGTCGGTGAAAGTATCGCGCGGAGGGTCCGCGATATCCACGTGAAAAATGGCGGAAAATCGCGAAGTTATATCGTGAACAAATTCCGAAAAGGAATGGAGCAAATCCGTCCCGGTTCCGAGTAGTGCAAGCGCGAGAGGCGGCAGAAAGCGACCCGAGATGCACTTAAACAGATTGTTCGTGTGCAACTTAGTCGGCGCACTGGACTCGGAAGTTTTGAATATTTGAATCGTTGAATTGTTTAGTGTTCCCGGGAACTATTCTCGTAATGCGCGTCACGTTTTCACACACGTTCTCGCGATATTATTTCGACCGTTATTTATTATCGTTGAAGTCGTATTCACCGAGATAGATCGTGTCTAGCCAAGCACATACATTGATCTTACGATGCTCATAATCGGCTCCGATTGGCGAACACCACGGCACGGCACGGTGGAGATTCGATGCAATGCAATTACAGGACTTTCTCTCGGCCGCGCCAACTTTATCAAAGTAGTTACTCAATCTCTCCCCGGATTCGTTTAACCGATACCCGTGCATTTCGATCAATTTGCTCGAGCAGCTGCAAGATCCTCTCGTTCAACCGTATACGAGCGACCTCGTGTCGTTAGCCCGACATTTTCCTCGCCGATCGCACAGCTTACCTGCAAATTTGAACGGGGAAAATGGTCGGAGTCGTTTTCGTGGGCGGGACGCGACAGGCGGCGGATAGATTTTTGCGCACGCGAATACAGTCAGAATTGTATAGAGAATTACAATTGAATTAGTCAAGAATTTATTATTTATTATTAAGAATTCTTTATTTATGTATGAAAAAATCAATTAAATAAAAAAAAAACGATATTGTATTAATAACGAACCTTGTGAATGGTTGAAAGGAAGGCAGATATGCGAATTTTATTAAAAGAAATTGATTTGTAAATAGAAAGTACATACATATTCTTCGATATAACTTACTTATTCTCTTTACATAAAGCTTTCTAAAATGATTTTTCTCCTTGCTAATTCAGTAAACACTAAACACGCAAACAATTTGGGTCAAGAGATAAACCCAGCCACGAAATTGTGACATGCAAATGCGATAACTATCTGAAATCAAGCACGATTCTACGTTCTTAGATCTATGAAATCTCGCGAGGCTAAGAATTCATTCTAGGATTCATGAAAATAATTTTAATCTGGTTTTAACCCGGATACGTACGCAATCCACGAGGACGCTGGAGTTCTCAAAAACATTTCAGGAATTATCGAAAAATCGTGAAGTCGAAGGAAACGAGATTACACTGCGGGAAGAAATCGTTAGGTCACTTTAATCCCCCGTCATATCGAGAGAGATGGAGTGCTATGAAGGCGGATCTAATGTAATAAAAATCCTTGGAACTTACCTCAGATCCAGAACCTACTTAAACTTCGAAGCCCTAGAAAATATTTTACGAATTATCAGAAAATTGTGGAGCCTAGAAAAATCAGATTAACGAAGATCGGTGCTCTGGACAGTTTAATCCCTCATTGCAGCGAGAGGAATGAAGGGGCACGAAGGTAACTGTAGCGTGGAAATG